GGAAAAGGCTGAGGTTCGATTTATTTTCGCCAGCATTGTAACGAGGGGGTGGATTATAAACGTTAGGAAGTTTCTCATTGTAGTATTTCTCTGTGAAGTTTGACACCTCTAGAATGTATGCCTCTACAATGGAAGCCTCAATTCTAGCTTTATTTCTACATTTTTTGCGAAGAGTCTTCAGACATCTCTCAATTGGATAGCACCAACGGTTCTGCACGGGCCCCCCATCCGTGCCTCATACGGGAGGTGCACAATCAAATGCTGCATCGACAAGAAGCAGGCGGGTGGAAAGATCTTCTCCAACTTACAAAGCAACACGGGTGCCACTTTTTACAAGTCATCAATGACGGTCCAAGAGAGCTCCTTGGCACAAATCTGGTGGAATAAGTAGCTCAACTCTGCCAGCACTTTCCAGACATGCTCCAGGACATAGCCTCGAACCATCGCCGGAAGAAGCCGCTCAATCCATATGTGGTAGTCATGACTCTTCATCCCGTTGACTCACAGAGTGCCTAAGTTAACTCCCCTCTTTAGATTCGCTGCATACCCATCAGGAAACATTAGCTTCTTGATCCATTCAAGTACTTCCCTCCTTTGGTCCTTTTTCAAGACAAAATCGGCCTTAGGCCTTCTCCAGGTCTTGCCACGACTAGGAGGTTGCATCTCTTGATTTGGTCTATCGCACAACGTTGCCAGGTCCACTCTAGCCTTTGGGTTGTCCTTAGACTTTTCAGTGTCCATGAGTGTTGCCCAAAGTGCCTCGGCGACATTCTTTTCAGTGTGCATTACATCAATGTTATGTGGTAGAAGAAGGTCATCGAAATAGGGGAGCCTCATCATGCCCGAGATATGAGTCCACATATGCTGCTCACCATATCCCACAAAACCACCTTCTTCATTGGGCATGAGAGCATCTATCTGAGCATGAACCTCGGCACCAATCATCATCCGCGGTGCAGGGTTTGTCACTTTGACACCTTTCGTAAAGTTCTTGATGTCTTGTCTGAATGGATGGTCAAGAGGTAGGAATTGACGATGTCTGTCGAACGACGAATACTTGCCACCCTTCTGCAACCAAATAAACCTCACACCTTCCTTGCATATTGGGCATGGGAACTTCCCGTGAACACACCAGGCGCAGAATATCCCATACGCCAGGAAGTCATGCAGGGAGTAGTGGTACCAAACGTGCATTTTGAAGGTTGTCTTTGTAGCTTGATCATATGTCCATACCCCTTCGTCCCAAGCACGGACCAATTCATCAAACACGGGCTCCATGAACACACCCATATTACTCCCTGGGTGTCCAGGAATTATCAACGACAAGAATACGTTATGTCGTTGAAAGGAGACACCGAGGGGGAGATTAAGGGGGATAACGAAGACGGGCCAACATGTGTACGTGGTAGCCATCATTCCATAAGGATTGAACCCATCTGTTGCCAACGCGACACGTACATTACGAGCCTCATCTGCTTTGTCACGATGTTTTTCATTAAAGCGGATCCAAGCTTCACCATCGGATGGATGTACCATCTTGTCAGGATTGTACCGTTTGCCATTTTTGTGCCATGTCATCTGTTTCGCGGATTCCTCGGTCATGTATAGCCGTTGGATCCTCGGTAGGAACGGAAGGTACCGTAGGATTTTCATGGGGATCGTAAGTTGTCTCTTCTGGCCATCATCAGAGTCTACCTCTAGGTACCTGGAGGATTTACACTTTAGACAGAACTTTGCATGCTCATGTTCTTTCCTAAATAGGACGCACCCTTTCGGACAAGCCTGTATCTGCTCATATGGCATCTTAAGTGCTCGAAGGAGTTTCTGTGACTTGTACATGCTCTTTGGTAGAATGTGGCCCTCCGGAAGCAGGGTGCCAATCACGGCCAACATCTTATCGAAGACAGGTCGACTCAAGTTTAACTCAGACTTCAACCCCATTAAGCGTCCAATGGCATCCAGTTGAGACACCGTTGACCAATCGTGAAGGGGTTTCTGTGCTGAGTCCATCATGTCGTAGAACGCTTGTGCGGCTGCCTCCATCTCCTCCTTCTCACATCCCTCATCGAATTGTCCTTGGTGAAAGTCATCTAACATGTCTGCTACCCCGGCATCAGCATCAAAAGCCTCCACCCGTGGTCTCACCACCTCCTCTCTTATACGATGGGCTTCACCATGGTGGACCCACCGGGTGTAGTCCGGCGTAAATCCATTCTTCACAAGATGTTTACCCATTTCCACCTTGTTTACCCTTCTCCTGTTTCCACATTTGCTGTAGGGACACAAAACTAGGCAATGTCCTTTAGCAGCGTTGCCAAATGCACTATTCAAGAAAGCATCGGTCTTGTTCATCCATTCCGTGGTGTAATCACTTTGACTTCTCCAGCCCATGTACATCCACTGACGGTCATCCATCCTCTAACATATGTATCAGCGAGTAATGTAACCATCAATTGCATCTAAATGGTGTTCCTACTGTCTAATAGGTGAGGATAGGTCCTAATCCCACCCGCGGATGCGTAGATAAAGTTAGTTTCCATGCTCTACTCCTATCCGAGACAGAATTTCGGCAGCACCTCCCCGCTGTTCTCCAGATACACGTCCTGCCAAAGAAGAGTGCGTATCCGGAGAACAACAGGGAGGTGATGCTGAAACTCTATCTCGGACCATAGCAGAACATGGGAACTAACCCATCTACGCATCCGCGGGCTGTCCAAAAAGCGTGGACAATCCGAAATAGATACGGTCATAGATATGCAAAGATCTGCATACCTCCAACCGTATCTCTTTCAAACGGGAGACGCCTAACTGGGTTACACGATCTACGACCATGATACGAAAAGAGGGGTTATACCTAGGGTGAGGTTTCCAAAACCTACAAAAAACAACGGCACGATGGCCGACAAGCACATATGTCTCAAGAGAAGCCATGTAGTTTGGATATCAATCCATGCAGAAGAATATATCCAAGTAGTACCACTACTTGTACTACTACTTCCACTATTGCTACTACTACTACCATTGGTTCTACTACTACTACTACCAATATTGTTACAACTACTACCATTAGTTGTACTACTACTACCACTACTTCTACAACTAATACTACTACAACTACTACCTCGACAACAATAAGAGAGAAGGCATACCTGACGGGCGCCGAGGTAGGACGGGCGGCGTCGGTGTCGGAGTCGGGGTCGCCGGAGTCGGGGACGGGGTCAGGCACGGACGGCATCGGGGCAGGCGGTCCACGGGGCGCGGCCGGGGCAGGGTCGGCCGGGGGCAGGGCGCGGCTGGGAAAAGGGCGCGGCCAAGGGGTCAGGGCGGCACGGCCGGGGGAAGGGCAGGCCGAGGGCACGGCGCGGCCGGCGGCAGGGTGCGCGGGCAGCGCGGGCGGCCGGGTGCGCGGGCAGCGGTTGGCGCGGGCAGGGGAAGGGCCGGCCGGTGGAGATCACTAGTTGTACATGTGAGATCTGATATCACATGTAGAGATGTTCTGGTTTGTAAGCATCGTACGTGACAACGTGCATGAAATCTTCTGAATTTTTTATCATAGCCTCCACATATGATATCACGACATCTCAACAAGTTTTATGATTTTCGGACTTCGTTTGCTTCTTATAGAATTTAAAAACACTTCACACGTAATTTCGCGGACATGTTTCGTGAACAAGATGTCCGAAATTTCGGGTCTGTTCCTGGATACGGCCTCTCACAACACTCACTAACATGACTATCAATTTTTGAATCATTAAATTTCATTATTCGTACCACGTGTAGTTCAAATTTCTATTTTTCGAAAAAAATTCAAGTAAACGAAATAAAGTAACTAAATATATCAAAAAGCCACAAAAAATCCCCAAATTGTAATTAGGAGTTCCTGGTGCTTTAAAAGGGCTGCACAAAAAAAATTAAAGGCCAAAAACAAAAAAAACTTTGCCCGAGTGCCGGGGCATTGCCGAGTGCCAGCATAAGGCACTCGACAAAGAGGGTTTTAATTTTTTTTAAAAAAAATTCCTCTTTACCGAGTGCATCCACAGGAGCACTCGACAAAGAAATTATTAAAAAAAATTAAATCTTTGCCGAGTGTCGTGCCAGGGGCACTCGGCAAAGTATTTTTTTAAAAAAAATACTTTGCCGAGTGCCAAATCTGAGACACTCGGCAAAGAATTTAAAAAAAATTAAATCTTTGCCGAGTGCCGGATCTGGGGCACTCGACAAAGAATTTTTTTAAAAAAAAATGAAATCTTTGTCGAGTGCCTAACAGCAGGCACTCGGCAAAGAAGGCCGTGACCAAACACCGTTTCGCGGGCAGCCTATGCCGAGTGTAGAGATTTTGCCGAGAGTCTAGCACTCGGTAAAGAAGTCCTTTGCCGAGTGCCCTTTTTTGTCGAGTGCAATTCTTTGCCGAGTACAGCACTCGGCAAAGAAGGTCTTTATCGAGTGCCCGATTTTTGACACTCGGCAAAGAATTTTGCACTCGGCAAAGTCTCTATTTCCGGTAGTGAACTCACTTCCCTAATAGAAATGCAACATATAAGTATGTCTCTTGTATGTCTAACAATAAATATATAAATATATTCTATATATAACTATATTAGCTTAATTAATCTATGTCTAAATTGTAATTATTAGAATGAATTCAATTTCAAGGATCCAAACCGGCCCTGAGAGATCCAATCCTATGTATAAGAGTGGTTCATGGGAATTTGTTCAAGCTATTCCTTCATTTTTCTTTTTACTAAAACAATTGTAAGAAAGAAAATATAAAAATAAACAAAACAGTACATTGTTATTACCGATAATTTAGACGAAATATCACAAGCCAAACTGCATGCATGCTTACCTTAAACTAAAGAAAAGTACATATCATTCGACAGTGCTACATACTGGACATGTCTCTCGCAATTTAGCTGAAGAAACATGCTTAAAACACCTCTCGAAACAAGCCAAAAGGAAAAGAGAAAAGTGGAAGCGATCTAGACAGGCAGGAGACACATTTACAAGCAGAGGTCCAAGCTTATGACACCATCCTTGTGTCCCAACTCCGGTCTCCCTATCATCTCCGCCGACTGGCCGGACAAGCACGACGACGGCAACGGGGGCAGTGACGTCACCACGCTCATCGCCACCTTGTCGTCGTCTTTGCCAGCCATCATCTCTCCATAGCCCGCCGGATCGGTCCCCATGGGTCGGCCAGCCACGACAAAAGCGCCACCACTCCCAGGTGGCGACGGCCTCCACATCCCCGGCACGGCCACGCCGCGGTACACGGGAGGAGGCCGCGCCACGGGCCCCACGCCGCCGTACATCCCCGGCACGGCGCCTGTCCACACGGCAGGCGGGTAGTGCGCCGGTGGCAGCGCCGTGTGGCCGCCGCCGCCGCCGTAGCCGAAGAGGCCGTAGAGGTGCGCGCCGGGTAGGTAGGCGCCGCAGTGCGCGGCGAAGGAGGCCTCGAGGTGCGCCCTCCGCGCGTGCTGCCGCTCCCGCTTGTGCGCGTTCTGGTGCCCGCCCAGCGCCTGCGACGTCGGGAAGTTGCGGCAGCAGTAGTGGCACTCGAACTTCCTCTCCCCGCCGGACGCTGCCGTCTCGCCGCCGCCCTCCCCGGCCGCGGCGTCCTCCTTGAGCAGCAGCAGCTGGTGCGCCTGCTGGTCGTTGGGGAAGTCCCGGCCGAAGAGGCGGATGCTGGCGGCGTCCCTGCTCGCCGGCGCCGGCGTCTTCGGTGCCGCGGCACGCGCAGCGCCGGGGATGAAGGGCAGCTGCGCGAACGAGTCGAGGCCGTGCATGTCATGCGGTGCGGCGGCCATGGCAACGACGACACGGCTGTGTGGACTGTGGTCACGTCGCAGTAAATTGAACGACGACAGGCACTAGCTAGCCAGGATTTCTGTAGCCTGTGCAGTGCTGCTCGGCAGTGAGCACTGAGCAGAGAAGTGCACGCAGGAACTGGGTGCGATTGGTGGTGTGGTTTTAAGGCGAGAGACGACAGACGAGGGCCGATCGAGGCGGCCGGCAGGCTGGCCGGCCATTTGCAATGAGAGGAGGGGGACCGTATCGAGTACGCGACAGCAGCCGAGGCGTTGAGTAAAAGCTTAGTATCTCGTCACCGAAGTACCCCCTCTCAAGCTAGGCAGCCGCGTACTGCACTGCCGACCTGTGCACACATGCCCGATTGCCCGTGCAGCAGTTACTTCATGCCTCTTGGAATAATAGTAGGATTCTAGCCTCTAGGAATAGAGATAGAATAAGATATAGGTCTACTCTTATACTTCGAGTGGATTTAAAGTCCTAATAGGACATATATCAATTGGACTAGCGTGTTTGGTTAGATGAACGATCTCATTCGGCATGGGTCCATGAGGCATGAGGTGGTCCGATCATTTTTCACTGGAACTGGATCACCACGTTCCACAGAATGGACAGGAGCGAGGAAGAATTATATTATTGCTACGTAGATGACGGACGACTTCAACCGGCAACCCAATCCAAACAGCGCCTAGGCTCGGATATATGATCAGATGATCGGTCGGACGATCCCGTGCTGCAAAACCAAACAGGCTGATAATGTTGCAACTATATAATAGACGACATAGCAGTCTAAGGATAAGCTAATAAGCCGTTTCAATTATTTTCTACATGGTATCAAGAGCTATCGACCTATCTTTCGCCCGTGTCGCCCTGTAGAGATCAATCTACAAAAGCTCTCTAGGGCGCCGCATGAATTAGTTAGCCCCAAGAAACATCCATAGACATTAGTTTAGATTTTTTTTTTTCATCGTCCGAAATCCTGGTTGTTGGCGGCAAATCCATCTATAGCATTGGCACCGAAAATTCGCATCTATCTTGCCCCGCGTCGATCTCTCATCTATCAAAGGTTTGCACCTGCTGGGCCGGCGTCGATCTCTCATCCAGCCATCGTCCCCACAAGCATCTGTGTTTGTTTGTCCGTGCTTCCACATGGATTTCCGGCCGGCTTTGATGAGCACGTTGAAGTTTGAACTAGACACAATTATCATAGACCTCTATCATTGGGAAAATAGACTATCATATCACATGGGCATGCTAAGTTGCTAAGCGAGAAAAACTACATATGCCCCTTTACATTTGACGACGGTCCTGATCCTTACGCCGCACACGAGAGCGGGGCAACCAATTTGAACTTGGTCAAATCAAACATAACAAACCATTATACTTCCCCTGTTCCAAATTGTAAGTTATTCTAACTTTTTCTAGAGTCAAAACATCTCAATTTTAACCAATTTTATATAATAAAATAATAGCATTTATGATACCAAATAATATTATTTGATTCTTCATTAATTATATTTTCATAGTATATCTATTTTTAAGTAAAACTTGAGATGTTTTGACTTTTTAAAAAAAGTTTGTATGACTTATAATTTGGGACGGAGGGACTACTTTATTACTCTATTGGAGTTTAACACCGTATTTGTCAAACATAACCTATCACGCTCCTGCTCGGGGTTGGGCGGTTAGGGGCGGCGTCATGGGCACGTTGGGGGCGCGGCGGTGGCTGGTGGCGTGCGGTAGGAACAGTGGCGGCGTGCAGGAGAGGGGCGGCGACGCTAGCAGAGAGAGAGGAGATTTGTTTAAAGAGCAAGGCTATATTTCCTTCTTGAGTTAGAATAGTTACAATACCCTTATATTTATATATAATCCCTAGCGGACTTGCACACCAAGCAATCTAGTAACGAGTCCTTACAGGTTTGGATTCTACTTTCCTAAAACAAACTCTCTCTTTTCCTAATAAATTCTAAGCTCTTTTTTCTAAACAAAATTTCTATCTTTTTTCCTAAATATTTCAATTTTCTTAAATCATCTAGAATCCGGGATAATGTGGAGGTGGAGGAAGCGCCGCCCCCCTAGCTAGGCCGCGCGCCTCCCTGGTGCGCACGCGTGCCCTGTGGCCTCGGCCGCCGCCCAGTCGCGGGCTCCCACCGGCCCGTTTGGCCCACTCTAAGGGGCCTCATTTACGAGCATGACATAACCCTACTCCGATATGTGGCGTTGAGTTTTTTTTTTCTGACCCTTATAGTATGATATAAGTGGATTAACTAGCTAGCTAGGGAAAACATATGCTTCTAATCACAGTAAGTACTATAGTAGACATAAAGCTGTTTGTTTGTTTGTTTTTTCGCTGGCTTTGTATCATTGTAGGTACATAGATGAGCAGCTATCACTAGCAGCGGGCATGAAAGACATCATAAGCAGTATGATGTGCCATGCATGCATGTTGCGACTCCCAGCTTCCCTCTCTCTCTGCATGTCACTGTTGTTGGGTTCCTGACAGGAAGGGGCCGTATAGGAAACCTGGCATGCATGGTTTTCAGGGCATGGTGTGCGAGACCGTCTGACTCACTGGCTACACCATAACCAGGTGGTCCTCTCTTGCCATGGGGTCGATCGGCTGGCGGGGACGTGCCTGCGTGTGCTTCACTGCCTGTTTGCTTGCTGCTATATATATATATATATACACACACACGTTAGTATTGCAGTAGCTTGTCCCATGGTTCAATGATTTATTTCTAGCTAGCAGGGCCCTGTGTGGGAGCAGGATGCCATCAGGATGCACGCATCATGCATGCATGGCTGTTGAATTGAAGGTCCCGCCTTTACATTGCTCTCTGACGTCATATGAACTCCTGTTAGTTCCCTTTGCCCCGGTATGTATTTGATCAGTGTTGATTATTCCTGGTGCTGTGTTCGATGGAACGAAAAGCTTTTTTGTGGTATCTACTACTACGTGTGTTGCATGCAATGCAACGTTCGTGGTCGATCGATGCATGCATGCATGCTTATTGCTTGCGGCTTTGCATTGCTTGAATTGTCTCTCTCGCTTTTGCTGCATGCCTGAAGTCTTGCAATGATTTTTCCCGGACTTTGAAGCAGTGGTACTGAAGCATCCTGTGGATCCTTCAAGCCTCGCAGAAAAATCCCCGGTCGTCATCAGCACGTACGGCGGCAGCCAGCAGCATCCCGACGAACGTCTTTATTTGGTTTGCAGCATAAGTACCGGCCAGCATCCCGACGAACGTCTTTATTTGGTTTGCAGCATCGCTTAAGGGGCAGTACCGGCCAGCGCGCCAATTACCGCGTGACCTAGAGTTGTAAGCTTAGGCCCTGTTTGGTTGAGCTGTGGCTGTGGAAAAAGCTGCTGTGGGCTGTGAGCTGTGAGCTGTGGAAAAACTGCTGTGGGCTGTGAGCTGTAGAAAAGCTGAAAGCTGTTTGGTTAAACAAGTATAAAATATACCTTTTATCTTTATCTCTCTTGAAACAACTATGGAAGAGCTTTTTATTCCACCAATTTCGAAAAGCAGAAAGCCAAAAGCCAAAAGCAGGGTCAACCCAGCTTTCAAAAATGAACTACGAAAAAGCAGCTGCTTCTGAAAAAACAGCCTCCAAAAACAACCCCTTTGGTTGGGCTTTTGGCTTTTGGGGCCAAAAGCCAAAGCCAAAAGCCCAACCAAACAGGACCTTAATGGGTTTATATATTTATATATATACTTCTAGGGGCTGGAATGTTAGATCATATGCCCTGAGAAACAATTCCACAGTGCCTGTATGCCGCGCCAGGAAGTAAGAACTGACGGTATAATTTCAGGTACAAGGGCCGGTAGTCAGGCTGTCACTGATGAAGTGCAGACTTATTTCCAACAACCTACTCCTCTGTTCCCATCTTTCTGCGACAGTCATCCTGACTATCGAGTGAGAGGCTCCTGCATTGCCTGCTCGCCAGCCACATGGTACTCGGAGTACGCACGCAACGCAAGTAGCAGCAACGTGGTAGCAAGCCGTGTGCAACTTGTGATCACACTATCACAGTAGTCGTCTAGCAGCGCATCGAGCTGGCGGAAGGAGCGGGTGGCCTTGTTAAAGCATAGATTCAGAGAGAGCATCGGCCGGCGGGCCAGTACACGTTCATCTTCCCGGCCGGCTGGGATATATACGGCGAGAGGACGGCCGGCATCGCGCCCGCGCGGCCGCTGCTGGACAGTGCGCGTTGCGCGCCGGGTCCGTGAAGCAAGGGGATCGATGCCCGGCCCGCGCATGGAAATAAGTGCAGGGATCGATCGAGCGGTCGCGCCGCGCGTGCTTCCGCTCTCTCGTTGATTTTCCCCCATAGGATCCCTCTCTCTCGACCGATTGAGGTCGTCCGGCTCCATCATCGGTTTCGGCGGAGGCGGCAGGGTATGGGCATTGGGCGCACGCATGCAGCTGATGATGGCGATGGATGCGCGTGTGTTGATTGTACGTACGCACGCCGCCGCCCCAACGGCTTCGCGTTACCATCCAGTTCAGTCCAGAAAATGTTTGGAAAGCAAGCACGATGTCACGTAATCACGTTACAACAACGATATATCACAACATCACGTTCAGAAAACTGTCTAGCTTATTTTGTGGTTTATGTAAACTAGAATAGGAAGCCAACTCCATTAGACATGGAAACACTTAGATCTTCATTTTCTTTGAGTGCCTTATTTTCTTGTGATTGTTTCTTTAATTTTCTCTTGTGTTCATGGAGCAAGTCAAGTAGGTTCTCGCTGACGGCAAAAACGAACCAACAAGAGTAATGGACTCCGCCATTAATATAAGTTATTACTATCATCGAGACGTTGAAGAAATTAATTTGGAACATCAAAATCAGAGTTTAAATAAAGAAAAGGGAGAAGTTGGGCACTTTTAGCTAAAACCGGGTTTGACTGTCACTACTACATATTTGGACATCACTGTTGGCCTAATCACTGCCGAATTTGTGAGAACCAACATTGATGTACCTTCACTATCG